AATTTAATTTTGATGTTGCTCACTTACCTCTTTTTGTTGCTTTTTAGTTAGAAGCCCTCACTCACCCACAGCCCCCACATTCTCCACATTCTTGTTCATATTTCTCTCATTACTTAGCGTTATAACTATTCTTCTATTGAATAGACGTTATTACCGCTCACACTCATCGTGTTAGTGACCTTAGCGAGTGTCTTATTTGTTACGGGAATTAACCCGAGCCAAGTATGTATTTCCATTTTTCATTTTCCTTCTTTCCTTCTTCATATATTATTTTTTTGTAATGTTTATTTTATTTGTGGTCCAAGGTTGTTAGATGGAAGAAGAATGTAGTAGAAAAAAGGGAAGATGAGTGGATACTTTTAAGGAATTTGATTTTGATGTTGCTCGCGTACTTTTTTTTTCTTTTTCTTTTAGTTATGAGCCCTCACCCACCTGCAACCCCACATTCCCCACATTCTTGTTCATATTTCTCTCATTGCTTAGCATTATAACTATTTCTCTATAGAAGAGAAGTTATTACCGCTCACACTAGTGTCTTATTTGTTATGGTTATTAACCCGAGCCAGGTATGTATTTCCATTTTTCATTTTACTTCTTTCCTTCTTCATATATTATTTTTTTTGTAATGTTTATTTTATTTGTGGTCCAAGGTTGTTAGATGGAAGAAGAATGAAGAAGAAAAAAGGGAAGATGAGTGGACACTTTTGAGGAATTTGATTTTGATGTTGCTCGCTTACCTCTTTTTTTTGTTTCTTTTTAGTTAGGAGCCCCCACCCACCCAAAACCCCACATTCCCCACATTCTTGTTCATATTTCTCTCATTGCTTAGCATTATAACTATTCCACTATAGAAGAGAAGTTATTACCGCTCACACTTGTCATGTTAGTGGCTTTAACTAATGTCTTATTTGTTATGGGAATTAACCCGAGCCAGGTATGTATTTCCATTTTTTATTTTTTTTCTTTCCTTCTTCGAATATTATTATTTTTATTTATGATCCAAGATTGCTAGATGGAAGAAGAAGGAAGAAGAAACAAGGGAAAATGAGTGGAGCACACTTTTGAAGAATTTGATTTTGATGTTGCTCGCTTGTCTCTTTTTGTTGCTTGCTAGTTAGGAGCCCCCACCCACCCACATTCCCCACATTCTTGTTCATATTTCTCTCATTGCTTAGCGTTATAACTATTCATCTATAGAAGAGAAGTTAATACCGCTCACACTCATCGTGTTAGTAGCCTTAGCGAGTATCTTATTTGTTTTGAGAATTAACCCGAGCTAGTACGCAAAAGTAGAGTTTGAAACGTATCCTCCCAAGATTCTCATTGTGAGTCAATCATTGCTCATGTTGTCCCATCTTCGTCATTGTTTCCCTTTTTGTTAGCCTTACCATAATGGTTGTGTGGTGAGTGATATGCCGTAATCTTCCCTATAATGGGATACTATGGGGGAATTCTAATTTTTATTTGGATAATATTATGAGCAAAAGTTGCAAGATACTTTTGGGCACCGATGTGCACGATCTTTAATTTTCTTTTGCTACAACTGGTATTTTGAGCAAAAGTTGCAAGATACTTTTGGGCACCGATGGAAGAAGAATGAAGAAGAAAGAATGGAACATGAGTGGAACACACTTTTGAAGAATTTGATTTTGATGTTCCTAGATTGCCTCTTTTTGTTGTTTGTTCCCTACATTCTTGTTTGTATTTTTCTTATTGCTTAGCGCTATAATTATTTATCTTTAGAAGAGAAGTTATTACCGCTCACACTTGCCATGTTAGTGGGCTTAGAAAGTATCTTATTTGTTGTGGGAATTAACCCGAGCCAGATATGTATTTCCATTTTTCCTTTTTCTTTTTCCTTCTTCAAATATTTTTTTTTTGTAATGTTTATTTTATTTATGGTCCAAAGTTGCTAGATGGAAGAAGAAGGAAGAAGAAAAAAGAGAAGATGAGTGGAGCACACGTTTGAAGAATTTAATTTTGATGTTGCTCGCTTACCTCTTTTTGTTGCTTTTTAGTTAGGAGCCCTCTCTCACCCACAGCCCCCACATTCTTGTTCATATTTCTCTCATTGTTTAGCGTTATAACTATTCCTTTATATAATAGAATGTATTACCACTCACACTCGTCGTGTTAGTGGCTTTAGCGAGCGTCTTATTTGTTATAGGAATTAACCCGGCCTCATACGTAAAACCAGAGTTTGACAATGTTGTTTCCCGAGATTCTCAGTGTAAGCCCCATGATTGCCCCTGCTGTCCATTCTTTGTCACTGTTTCCTTGTTTCTTAATATTGCCATAACGTTGGTGTGGTGGTTACTACTATTGATGTGCCGTACGTTTCCCTACAATAGGATACTGTGGGGAATTCTATTCTTTGTTTGGGCAATTTATTGGATAATATTACGAGCAAAAATTCCAATATATTTTTCGAGGCCGACGTGCAGGACCTTCAGTTCTCTTCTCCTACTATTGTTGTTTTTTAGGATAAAGGCACAACCATGTTGGGACCCAATTAAAATATTTATGATGAAGATTGTAAAGGCCTTCTGGGATAAAGTTGTTTGCTAATTGTTCTATATTCCATGTTTTGACTGGAACATATACGAGGGGTGCAAGCAACGCTAGGTATGTATTTTCAAGGAAGAAAGAAGAAGGAAGAAGGAAGAAGGACGAAGTTAGGGGCATCCGGCTTTTATTTATTGTCTAGTTTAGTTAATTGGCCATTAATTTCACTACTACAATTTACTATTTGCGCGACAAGACTTTGCGCGACAAAGACAAATTCATCGCGCAAGAATCACTGATGCGACGGACGAACAGATTCGTCGCGCGAAACTACAAACTTTTGCGCAACGCAAAATTTTGTCGCGCAAAGTGGGGAAGAAAAACCCAAGAAATATTTTTTGGCGCCAAACATTTGCGCAACAATATATTTCGTCGCGCAAGATTCCATGGCGCGATGGTCACCTTTTTCGTCTCGCAAAAGTGGACAAAGAACACTGCGATACGGATTTTTTGGCGGGAAACTCTTGCGCGACGGAAATTTGTTCGTCGCGCAAAGTGCGATGTCGGCAAGTTCTCGGGCGACGGAATTTTGCGTTTGCGCGACGCCGTTTAATGTTTGCGCGACGAATATTTAAGCGACGAAGTGTATTCTTTCATCGCGCAAAATTCTGATGTTGACAGGTCTTTGCGTGATGAAAAATGGTTATTTTATGCAACGAAAAAGTTGTTTTGCGCGACGAAGTGTACTCATTCGTCGCGCAAAATTCCGATGTTGACAGGTCTTTGAGCGACGAAAAATGGTTATTTTATACGACGGAAAAGTTGTTTGCGTGACGATATTTTGCGCGACAAAACAAATACTTCGTTGCACAAACTTCTTCTTCTACATATCTGCATTTCGCCATTGCAAAGTCAGAATGCAAAGAAAATTTTGAAAAATCTGTCTGTGTTGTGCTGCGCTGCTGTCTCTGCTGGGAATTCAATATGCTCAGTGGGTAAATATTATTTGTCGTTTGTTTAAAAGTATTAATGTAAATTCGTACTAACGGTATTAATTTTATTCTCATTGTAGACATCTGTAATTTGCTATTGTGGAGAACGATTGAGAAGGTATGTTATTCATTTTATATTACATAATTTACATTATGTTGAACTTAGTTTGTTATAGTTATATTTTTTGTTGTGAAATTATATTTATATTATGTTGTTAAATTGTGCGTGTCATAGCACAATGTGGTGTGATGTACGAAGTTAATTGAAATTAACTTCGTACTTTTATTATTATTTTTTAGTAACATTTAGTTTCCCGTTCGAGATTAGTTAGATTTCGTGCATGGATGCGTAAAGCATGACTGCGGTCCAACTAATGCTTGAATTGTCCCATTATTTGGACAGTTTGGTAATGCATAGTGCTGTCACATAATCTACGGCTATAGGATTAGGTTTCGATTGTGGAGATTTCAGTGTCATCTCGGTACGTTCTTCGGGTGGTACGTAGGTATTTATACCTATGGCCACCTCAAGAACTGTATTGAGATGCTGGCGAAATTCATCCACGTCGAAATCTAATCTCATGTAGCCGTAGGTTACGTGGCAGGACTATGCATTCCCGAATGGGATAGGGCCCTTACCGGTGGCATAAGGTGACATTATAACTTCGTATGAAGTTGTTGTGATTGTTGTGTTGTGATTCTGGTTTCAGGAATTATGGACATAAGGTGGATACATAACCCGAACAGATGCGCAGACGAATACTTGGATGGAATCGAGGATTTTATTGAGTTTGCATGTAGACACAACCCGGGTGCAACTAGAATCCGTTGTCCTTGCAGGAGGTGTAACAACACGTTGTGGGAGACAATTGAAAATGTTGAATTCCATTTAGTAAGGAATGGAATGATTGAAACATATAATATTTGGAACCTTCACGGGGAACAATTAGAGCATGCTTCGTCTTCAAATGCCACAAGAGTGGACAATGTTGAACATATTGTGGATGCGAATGATTAAGTCATGGATATTATACATAATGTTTTTCCATTTGCATTGACCAACATCAATCAAGAAGAGAAAGATGACGTGCCAACCAAGAGTTATACCCGGGGTGCGAGAGTTTTTCCGTTCTCACGGCCATTGTGGAGCTAATGCATGGAAAAATAAAGTATCATATGTCGAACCTGTGTTTCGATTACTTTTTGGGGGTTTTCAAGAGAATGCTTCCGACGGACAATTGTTTGTCGAAAAACCATAAACATGCGCAGAGGGTGTTGAATGGTCTGGGATTGGGTTATGAAAAAATTCATGCTTGCAAAAACAATTGCATGTTATTCTACAAAGAGCATGAATCGTTGGATACATGTCCTATATGCAATGAGTCGAGGTTCAAGATGACATCTCAGAATAGGACGACTAAGATCCCACAAAAAGTCATGCGTTATCTACCCCTGAAATCTAGGTTGCAGTGATTGTATATGTCGACGCATACTGCCACAAATATGAGATGGCATAAGGAAAAACGGGTAGACCATGATGTGATGCGACATCTTGCAAATGGGGAGGCATGGAAAGAGTTCGATCGAACGTTCCCCGAGTTTGCTGCTGATCCTCGAAATGTTAGATTGAGACTTGCCACTGACGGAGTCAAGCCGTATGGGGTTCTAAACCAACACGACAGCACTTGGCCGATTTTTGTATTCCCATATAATTTGCTGCCCTGGAAATGCATGAAAAAAGAATACATGATAATGACTGTTTTCATAATTGAGGATCCTAGCCGATCAATCGATGTTTACTTAAGGCCGCTGATTGATGAGCTGAAGGATTTATGGACAAACGGTATTCGCACGTACGATAAATCAACTGGGAAGATGTTCACTTTGCGGGCAGCAGTTATGTGGACTGTGAATGATTTCCCAGCATATGCAATGGTTTCTGGGTGGAGCACAAAGGGTTATATGGCATGTCCTGTATGCAAGGAAGATGTAACTTCTGGTTGACACGCTAGAAAAGTTTGTTACCTTGGTTATCGGAGATGGTTGCCATGGGACCACAAGTGGAGGGAAAAAGATAAAGAGTTCGACAGGAACATAGAGCGTCGTCTCAGACCTAGAGAATGGTACGATGATGAGATATTGGACCAGCTTAACTGGTTGGATTTTGCTCCGTTCGGGAAAACAGTTAGTCGGATCAGACCTTCTACACATATGAACTGGACGCACAAGCCTATGTTTTTTGAGCTCCCATATTGGTCGAAACTCAAATTTAGGCACAATCTAGATGTGATGCATGTTAAGAAAAATGTATTCGACACATTGGTGGGCACGATTCTAAATATTGAGGGCAAGACAAAGGACACGATCAAAGCTCGTCTTGATTTGGAAAGAATGGGCATACGAAAGGGTTTATGGATGAATAGGGACAGTGATAAAGCTAGAAGGGATCTTGCATTCTTTTCTATGAAACCGAATGACAAGAAAGAGTTTCTAAAGTTTGTATCGTCTGTAAAGTTTCCCGATGGGTATGCTTCTAATATCGCACGTTGCGTTAATGTTGACGGGGGTAAATTTACTGGACTTAAGAGCCATGACTGCCATGTGTTTATTACAAAAGTAGGATTCCTTCTAAAATAGGGTCTTCTTTATTTCTCCTTGTTTGACTTGATAAGACTTGAAACATCTTGAAGTAGGAAATTTGACAACATTCCTTGCGACAAAAGGAATGACTTAGCTTCTTGACTTGATTAATCTCCCATCTTAATCTTCTTGCCCTTTTTAACACACTTTCTCATATTTCCACAAATCTCACAAAACCAATTAAAACAACCAATTTAATCTAAGGAAATTAACAAATAAATAAGTAAAGGAGACATAAAATATATATAAAATATAGGCTTATCAAATACCCCCAAACCTATCTTTTGCTAGTCCTCGAGCAAAACTGAAAATCAAAAATAAAATAAATCAAAAAAAATCTAAACTAAACCACTTTCGCAAGTAATCTCGATGGCACTTAGCATGTGTCATAAGCATTTAAATCTCTAAGTGTCCCTAGTAGGATGAGTTGTGTCTCCTGAGGGTTTACCAGTCACGACACCCACAAATGCTCATTGCAAAAAAAATTCGTTAAAGCAATACTTCCCACAAACTAATAATAACCAATGAATGTCAATCACAATTCAAAAACTAAAGTTATGCCACTACAAATAAAATGCACCATAGTGTAAAGTGTAAAGCCAATACTCTAAGCACTCAAACTTAAAGATAACCACACTTGGCATGTGTACAAATTCACCTGGACTCTAGGTCTCACTAGATAACTCTCAATTTTCTCACAGAACCTAGGGTTGCACTCTTACCCCGTATATGTGAATGAAGTTAGGTAAAGAAATCAAAATGTAAGACACATATGCATCCAAAATGAATAAAAGGCAATTTCTGAAAATAGATCTCATGGAAAGGAAATCAAATACTAAGAACTATAGATGAAGAACATACCTCCACTTCTGAGAAAAAAAGTCCTCAAAGATCCGTTAGGTTTTTACTATGGTTGTAATGAAGGGCTAGGTTATCGGTTTTGAAAGAAAGAGAATGAAATACTAGAACTTGAGACATACCAAGGCATTTATCGCGTTGTAAAGCTTGGCTCTTCAAATTTACTTCACAAAGGCATCCAGGATTTTTGATATGCTTCACTTCTTTTTCTTCTTTTTTTTGTATATATATCTCCTTCTTTTTTCTTCTTCTTCTTTTCTTTTTCTTTCATTTTTCTTGAACTTTGAGCACATATTTCCTCTGTACACGCCACCTCTTTTGTTAATGTAGAGCTTAACCTTCATCATTGTCTTCATGTGCCAATGAATATCTCAAGTTATAGGGTATGGCTAAAAATAGGGTGAAAAGGGTAAGGAAATATTGTGGGTGATGAAATAAAAGGCTAAGTGTTTGGCTTCAAAGGGTTGATGGCACACACAATGGGTAGGACATGAGGCTTTATTTATTGGTTAGAACATGCATAGCCTAACATCATCTCTCAAGGTCCACCCCACTCAAAAGTGAAAGCATAAGATGATTCATACAAAAGATAAATTAGTTCTTAGTATTCAATTCAAAAGCCTAATTGATATCAATCTAAATAAGAAAGAATGAAAATAGTGAATAAGAATAATCCCAAATACTCTCTCACTAAATGGCAATTTGGCTCAAGTATCTCACAATTGGTCATAAAAGTTGTAATTAATTGTGGCCTTTGTACCCCATGAGGAGCGAAAATGAAACCCAAGGTGGATGCAAGGTTTTATAAGGTTTCATTTTCCCCATATTTTCCCATGATCCAAGAAATCATTTCTCAAACCTGGACTAACCAAACATGAGAAAGCAATCTGATAGTTTCGTGAACCTTAGGGACGTTTTGTGATAAAAGTCAATTTTATTTTATCCGTATATTAGGTAAATATTATCAATGACTGAATTCAAAAGTTCATTTATGAAATTCAATTATATGGAAATAATTCATTAAATTTAAATTTTCAATATGTTTTTCTTAATTTACCTCAAAGAGTAAAATCGACATAACAAAAAAGTAATACAAGTCAAATCACCTACATCTACAACAAAAAAAGATGTGGATATTAAACCTAATAGCAGCTTGTAATTTTAGACCTAAATCTAGGAACCCCAATGATAAAAAACTTTGGAGCACTTTGTAGTCTTGTAACAATTCCACGCTGTTCCATTAAAACTCAGTGGAAGCTTCAGATTGCACATGACTTGGCCAGACAATCCACCACCTTTTTCTCGGAAAGCAATCACCACATCAATATTGTAAAGGTCACCATTGGGAAGCACTGGTTCCTCAAACATCATAGGCTTCCACCCTTGAATAACTGCATTATTAAAAACGCTTGAACTGTTAGGGTTTTGATCAAACGATGTTTGCCTATCCATCAAAGTCACAAGACCAAATCTCTTGTTTTGGTGGTATGCAATGACTTGGGTATCAGTCAACTTAAAGAAGAGTTTCTTATTGGGGTTTGTGAGGGTGATGTTGAAGGCGAGGTTGTAAGAGAGAGTATGGTTGGTTTCAGTGTAATTCAATCGATTGAGCTGAGCACCGATGACGTTGAATTCAGGGACTTTGTATGTCTCCGGATGGTTCATTATCGCCTTGCAAATAAAAAAAATAGGCAAGCCGATAAACCCCGACCAAAAGAAGAATGACAGCAAGAAACAGAGGAGATCCTGAATACTAGTGATACGATTGCGGAGGAGATCCTGAATGCTAGTGATACGATAGCGGTCTGTTGAGCTGTTAGTTGCAGACATGGCTAACAAAAAGCAAGAAATTGAGAGAAATCCAAAGCCTTGTTAAAGGAGAACAGAAAATTCAAGTGCCATTTATTTAGCTTTGGAGAGAGAAATAAAATATATAGGAGGCTTAGGAGGAGACTTTGAATTAATCAAGTTTGGAATGAGCCTAAGCATAATCTTGAGAGTGAGGAAACAAATTTTGGTCAACGTTCATTAGATCGAGAGGCAAACTTGTAGGTAGGAAATTAGTTTTGATGTTGACTTTTGTATTGTTGTTGGAATGGGGTTTAAACCCCAAACAAAAATCTATACAAGGAAGCCCACTTAAGAATTTTACTTAAATATTTAGAATGGAAATAAGGCAAGGTAATATAAGGCAAAAAAAAAGTCAATGGGCGGCCTGCCCCAGAAAGCCCACTTAAGCCCTGTTTGATAGGTAGGTTCGGGCCCATCTCTTTCAAATCTCAACCCAGTCCCGAAAAAGAAAAAGCCCGACAAAGCCCCAAAATGTAGGGTCGGGCCAGCGACAAACCCCACCTTAAAGTTAAAAGTCAAAACATAAAATATGGTTCATGTGCTTTACGTTCTATAGTCAATGTGGTCAATCTCATCTGATTAAAATTAAAAAACTTTCAAAATAAATATAAGAATGTGGTTTTTGAAAAATATAAATGAAGGTAAAGAAACTAATCCTTCATTCCATTTCGTGTTTGGGAACGCTAGGAAATAGGGACAAAGAAATTTTTTCTTATTCTCATGTTTGGTATGCACAATATTATGAATTAAATTTTTTTAAAATTTTCCTATAAAAATTTTATGGAAATTATTAATGGTTAAAATGACCAAAAGTGGTATTCGAGGAAAAAAATTTAAGGGAAAATTTTCACAAGCAAGCAAATATAATTAGTTTTAAGGTGTGCTCATTTTCGTTCATGTTGTGCTAATAGCTACTCATTTTGTCATTTTCTATGTTTTTTTTTTCTGAACACTTCCTTCATGTCCCCAGAACAGGAGGCCGTACATATTTCCACTGGTAATTCCAATCAGTAAACTCGATTACATTGAGATGAATGTAGGTTAGAGACAGGACGGTGTTTTTATTTGCAGATTACAACTTGACAGATATGGTGGAAGTTAGTAGCTCCATTGGCTTGCAGAGGGGAAGGGTTTGTTGTTAAAGCTGTTATTTTCTATATTGACTCTGATGTTCTACTTTTTGACTCATAAATGGGAGAAAACACATAATTAAAAGGAGACAGATCATGAGGGTGGATTTTCTTAGAAAAATTTTTCACAAGGTTCTCATAGGTGCTTCTGCTAGGGTAGCATCTTAAAATAAAGCTAAGCTTGACATCAGCAACCAAGTTGGATGTCTTACAGAACTACATCCTCATATTTATACCTTATTCTTTCCTAACTTTTCACATGTCTGCATCATTAATGGATGTTAATTCTGTACCCGTTGCAGAAAACAGCAGTGCAGATTGTTGGTTACTCATGATGATTATAGTTTGATGCCCAAACTTCCCAGGGAGAGAACATCATGAGTAGTGACAATACTTGGGAATCCGGTTGACCGTGTTTTTTGTACTTAGAATTTTTGGTAGAGGTAGCTGCTAGGTTTTTGGTGCATCTTAACTTAACTTCTGCAATACAAATGACAAGTCATATACGGGCAAAGACTAAAAGAGTAAGCACACTGGATATTTGGCCATGGATGAGGGAAGACCTTTTCACTTGGGTATGTTTTTTTCTGTGCTGCTTGGACCCATTTGACCTTTTTACTTGGTTATGTATTTTCAGTAAATTCCTGTTGAAGTGCAGTATTTCTCCCTGGGGACATTACTAGCAATTCTTATCAACAATTGATTAACATTTAGCTCTTCAATGGATTCTGATGAAGTGAAGCAGCCATATAAATTACGTACTAAGCTAACCTTCTCCTCAGCCTTCACAACCAACCAGTAATTTCTCCTCAACCCAGACCTTGACATCCTCTTTCGTCATCCCAAATGCATGTCTAATCATATCTTGTAATCAGCTTCCCCTTCTTTGATCTCCCATGGGGTCCTTCCCCCCATTGGTTGATCTCTCATTTACCTGTTGGGAAGTTGATCGTCAAAATAAATTTTATAAAATTTCGACCAAAAAGAATCCCTGAAATTATTTGATAATGTACTTACGAATTGATCAATAATGAGCATGGGACTGTCAATAGAAACCCCTTTTGTGGACACGAATCCAAATTTTATAGTGGTAAATTGTATTTCCCATCCAAATCCTAATTAATTTTGAAAACTAAACAAAATGTATTTCCAATCCAAATCCTAATGGAAACACATTTTGTTTGGTTTTCCAATTATATCCCTAAATAAGAAATATGCATTAAAAAGTGTAATTTGTTTGCCTTAGTATTTTTAATTGTTAAAATTGGTAAATTAGTTATAAAAAGTTGTAATAATGCTTGCCTTGGTTTCCCATGAGGAGGGAAAATGAAACCCAAGGTGGATGGAAAGTTTAATTTTCCCCCATATTTTCTCATGATACAAGAAATCATTTCCCAAGCCTGAACTTACCAAATATGGAAAAGCAAATAATGTCTCATTCTCAAGCCCCTTTTGCCATTAACCAAACACAGGTATTGATCTAGTGATTGCTCTCCACGAAAAGATTCATGGATGGTTGCGCAACCTAATCGTTCCATAGTTTTTTAATAGAACATCTTGTGATGGTTTTCAACACTACAAGGTGCTCCAATGTTTTTTGTTTTTAATTTAATCATTAATTTCAATTTTTTCCTTGTGCTTGAAAACAATTGTCAAATTCTGAATCTCTGATGGATGAGATAAGGCAGGATATTTCATTTCCACCTTTTTTTTTTTTTTTTTTTTTTTTTTGCTTTTTTTTTTTTTTTTTCTAATGCTTTTTAGTTTCGTTTGCTTTCATTATCAAATTCTTTTACTTGCTCAATTGATATTTTAATGTCAAGCAGAACTTATTTTTTGCTGCTATACTTCAAATCAGTTTTAGTTGGGTTGGGCTTTAAATCTGGCAAATCGTATAAGTCAGTTTCTGCCTATGATCAATAAATGTAGGTATGGGCCGATGATTCAATAGTAGTCTTTTAAAATTAATGAAACATATCAACATACATGTACGAAATTCTATAATGAAGGTCATATAAGGATCTGTTAGATGGACCTTCATATTAGTTACATGATTATTTCATTAAACTTAAATGAAACTACTATTTAGATGAATTATGTGGCTAATATAAAAAAGTCCACATCTATAGTACACCTTTGCCATCTTATGACTCACCTATATATGTATACCATTCATCATATGATCCCTTCCGCATCACCGTTCACCTTTTCTCCACTTCCCCATTTATTTTTATTATATCTAAAAGAAGAAAGTAAAAACTAAAAACAAAATGGTTATTGTCAATATAGTGCTGCAATAATTATCAAGCTCATGGGTCTCCATTCCTATTTTAATCTTTACAATACTAGATATGGGACTAGCCTAGGATGTGGCACTAGCATAAGGAAAATGAAAGAAAAATGGTAGAAGAAGCATAGCATGTGGCAAAAACAGCAAGTGGATAGGCAGAGGATTCCACCAAAGAGGCCACGATGACATAGAATATTGGGTCATCGAGAGCGAAGAAATTGTATATTGGCTCACACTTGACGGCTGTCCTTGTGATATACAAGTTGTCTCCCGTCGAGGGTGGTGGCCGGTAGAATTCCATTTCTACTTTGGCCCCATGAAAAAAGCAAATACAATATTTATTTGTAATAATAAGAGCTCCACAGTCCACGATTCCACAATCCACCGTTGTCCAAGGATGAGAGGGACACCCTGTGTCGCACTACAGCAATATTAAAATAGTCCACCCAAACCCCAAACAGCCTGCCCCAACGTTCTGCCCAAAAACCAACGGCTTTGCCCAACCTGCCTTCTACTAAGGGATGCTGTTGTCATTTTGTCCTCCTATGACATGATGATTCTGTTCAAATCTGATACGGTCAATTCTGTCTAGTTAAAATTAAAAACCTTCAAATTTAAGAATGTGGTCTTAGAAAAATATAAATTAAGGTAAAGAAATAAGTCCTGCGATTTCATGTTTGGGAATGCTAGGAAATAGGGACAAAGAAATACCATTTTTTCTTATTTTCATATTTGGTATGCATAATATTATGAATTACAAATGTGTTCAATTTTCCTATAAAAATTATTAACTAAAAGTGGTATTTGAAATTTAGAACATGATAAAGTTGGTCCCCAAAAAAAAAAAGTGAGTCAAATGATTTTCCAAATGGGGAAAAAAAGTATATGAAATTCCCCCTCTATATAGAAGGGGTACTTACCAAACATGAAATGCGAATCCGTATTCATTCGCAAGGGACGGCAAAAAATTTATAGAAAAAGAAATAACAAAGAAAAAAAAAACTTAAAATGGAAAATCAAGCAAAACTAGATAGACAAAAAAAATTACATTTGTTTTAATTTCTTTTTCAGAAGGAGGTTGTTGTTTATGTTCCAAAAAATATCATCCTGACACTGTTTATAATTCAATCCATCATATTACCCTCTATTTTTTAAAACTGTCTTCATTACATAACCAAAATAAAAAATAAAATAAAAATAAAAAAACACCGGCAACAAAACAGAAAACAGACATGATTCAACTGAAAATCCTAATTTTTTAATGACGAGTTTGCCCCTGTAAAACAGATAGCTTCCGGACAAACTTCCCTTCATAATTTAACAACCTTCCATTTGGAGTGGCGCGCGCACAAATACAACTTTTAAAGACCCACTGATCCTCAACCAATCAACATCAAACATAAAATTGCAGAGTTTTTAAAAATAAAAATAAAAAAGAAATTTTCCTGTGAAAATTGCTGTTTCTGTTTGGTTGCTGAGAAAATTTGAAACCAGGGGACCGAGCGACCTTTTCAGGATCTCTGGAAGGTTCTGAAAGGTGGGGCCTCAACCCTCGTTGA